GATAATGCTTTTAGAAACCTCACACCTTGTAATCTCCAAGCTACGGATTCTCTGCATTATATTCACACCCCACATAGCCCTCAGACACGACATCTCCCCTGCCTCCAGCCTTCTCCTTGTTGCAACATTCACCACCCATGCTTCACATCCACATAAGAGCGTTGGTACCACCATACTCTCACACATTCCCCTCTTTGCTTCCATGGGTAATGTTCTTTGTCTCCACAGTCCTCAGTGACGAATGGTTTGAAAAACCGACAAGTTGAAGATTGAGACACTCATGCAGCATATGGGAATCTCCTCCTCTCCTTACGCCTTCCTCTTTGTATTGGACTGATGAAGCCACTGTGTGGCGAAACGTTTCCTGAATAAAGATTCCCATATGCTGCATGAGTGTCTCAATCTTCAACACAGTCCTCAGTGCACCACTCACATTTTTCCCCTCATCATTTCTATGATTCGCCTCGCAAGTTCACTCCCAGATATCTGAACACATTCACTTCCTCTATTCTCCCTTCCTCTAATCTGATATCCAATCTTTCATTTCCTAATTTTTATGTTAACCTCATCACCCTGCTCATACCTATGTTCACTTGTTATTTCCGTCATTTACATACCCTCCCAAACTCATCCACCAACCTCTAATTTCTCTTCAGAATCTCCCGAAAGCACAGTGTCATTAGCAAAGAGCAACTGTGACAGTTGCCACTTTGTGTTAGATGCAAAGTTAAATAAGCTGAGTGACTGTTGGCACAGACAATGATACATCGTAACTACAGAGATCCTTAGATAGGAAGCTTCATAAGTCATTAACTGGGTCTTGTGTTAGTAACGATGTGACATCAAAATATTATAATTATTCCAGTTTGTGGTTAGTCAGCTAAATCAACATTAACATTAAAGTTAGTTTGCCAACAATTGGGCTGTATCTACTAGCCATTTGGAAAATTTAAAGGAAACTGAACCAATGGAGCTAATTATGGTCTGGCTGGATCACCTGGTATATCTTCACTACACTCCAACACTCAAGTCATATGTGAGGTCATATCTATGCTGTATAAATCTTCTGTTGTCCTGTTATTTCTACCGTTTTTTTATGATAATGCAGGAAATCACAAGAACACCTGGAATTTCACGATTTATCATCATACACTACCACCTACAGAGCCTAAATTGTTCTCAGATAACAGCATTAGCTTCTACCGAGAATATAAATAAGGGTAAATGTCGCTAATCTTCTAAGACATAAGCAGTTTACTGAGTTTTGGAGATAGAGTTAAGAAGGTTAATTAAGGCATACCCAATTAAGATCATTTCTGGAGGTCGATGATGGCAGATCACTTCACCAAGACTGAACACTGAGACACTTATGCAATATATGGGAATCTTTATTATGGAAACGTTTCGCCACACAGTGGCTTCATCAGTCCAATACAAAGCAGAAACGGGTAAGGAGAGGAGGAGCTTGAGGTAATCAGTCCCTCAGCCTGGAGATGATGTGTTCAGTTCATCAGTCTTGTAGAGGAAAAACGTCGCATTAAAACGTTCATGTTTCACTTGTTGAAAGTGATGTGAAATACCGACAATTTGAGGATAAAGTCATGTGAAACAGTTGGCTACACAGCCTACACAGTAGGCTTATTTAGTCCACGGCCTGGAACGATATTTTTCCAGGCTGAGGGACTGACCATCTCAAATACTATTTGTCAAAGGCTGATGGACTGATTATATCTTTATTTCACTACTACACTGCTGCCTCTGCATTTGAGCGAAACGTTTCATCATTAAAGATACCCAACTATTACACATATGTCTTAATCATCATACTTTTCCGTCAATCGTTTCTTTGCCAGATGTATTGCGACATTTTTTAATTTGTGGTTACATGCTTCTGAAAAGAATAAAAGGTCACACAGCGAGGGTATCTGACCTGAGGACGGGAAAGGCATTTCCAATACCTGGACTCAAGGGGACTTCACCAGCTAGAGGTAGACACCAGCAACACTCACCAATAATATGGAGAACTTCACCAGCTAGAGAAACACTCACCAACAACATGAAGCACTTCACCAGCTAGAAGAAGACACAAGAAACACTCACCAACAACATGAAGGACTTCACCAGCTAGAAAAAGACATAAGAAACACTCACCAACAACATGAAGGACTTCACCAGCTAGAAGAAGACACAAGAAACACTCACCAACAACATGAAGGACTTCACCAGCTAGAAAAAGACATAAGAAACACTCACCAACAACATGAAGGACTTCACCAGCTAGAAAAAGACATAAGAAACACTCACCAACAACATGAAGGACTTCACCAGCTAGAAAAAGACATAAGAAACACCACCAACACATGAAGCACTTCACCAGCTAGAAGAAGACACAAGAAACACTCACCAACAACATGGAGGACTTCACCAGCTAGAAGAAGACATAAGAAACACTCACACAACAACATGGAGGACTTCACCAGCAAGAAGAAGACACAAGAAACACTCACCAACAACATGAAGGACTTCACCAGCTAGAAGAAGACACAAGAAACACTCACCAACAACATGAAGGACTTCACCAGCTAGAAGGAGACATAAGAAACACTCACCAACAACATGGAGGACTTCACCAGCTAGAAGAAGACACAAGAAACACTCACCAACAACATGAAGGACTTCACCAGCTAGAAGAAGACACAAGAAACACTCACCAACAACATGGAGGACTTCACCAGCTAGAAGATACAAGAAACACTCACCAACAACATGAAGGACTTCACCAGCTAGAAGAAGATACAAGAAACACTCACCAACAACATGAAGGACTTCACCAGCTAGAAGAAGACACAAGAAACACTCACCAACAACATGAAGCACTTCACCAGCTAGAAGAAGACACAAGAAACACTCACCAACAACATGGAGGACTTCACCAGCTAGAAGAAGACATAAGAAACACTCACCAACAACATGGAGGACTTCACCAGCTAGAAGAAGACACAAGAAACACTCACCAACAACATGAAGGACTTCACCAGCTAGTAGGAGACATAAGAAACACTCCTACCAAACATGAAGGACTTCACCAGCTAGAAGAAGACATAAGAAACACTCACCAACAACATGGAGGACTTCATCAGCTAGAAGAAGACATAAGAAACACTCACCAACAACATGGAGGACTTCACCAGCTAGAAGAAGACACAAGAAACACTCACCAACAACATGAAGGACTTCACCAGCTAGAAGGAGACATAAGAAACACTCACCAACAACATGGAGGACTTCACCAGCTAGAAGAAGACACAAGAAACACTCACCAACAACATGAAGGGACTTCACCAGCTAGAAGAAGACACAAGAAACACTCACCAACAACATGAAGGACTTCACCAGCTAGAAGAAGATACAAGAAACACTCACCAACAACATGAAGGACTTCACCAGCTAGAAGAAGATACAAGAAACACTCACCAACAACATGAAGGACTTCACCAGCTAGAAGAAGACACAAGAAACACTCACCAACAACATGGAGGACTTCACCAGCTAGAAGAAGACATAAGAAACACTCACCAACAACATGGAGGACTTCACCAGCTAGAAGAAGACACAAGAAACACTCACCAACAACATGAAGGACTTCACCAGCTAGAAGGAGACATAAGAAACACTCACCAACAACATGGAGGACTTCATCAGCTAGAAGAAGACATAAGAAACACTCACCAACAACATGAAGGACTTCACCAGCTAGAAGAAGACACAAGAAACACTCACCAACAACATGAAGGACTTCACCAGCTAGAAGAAGACACAAGAAACACTCACCAACAACATGAAGGACTTCACCAGCTAGAAGAAGACACAAGAAACACTCACCAACAACATGGAGGACTTCACCAGCTAGAAGAAGACACAAGAAACATCACCCAACAACATAAAGGGACTTCACCAGCTAGAAGGAGACACAAGAAACACTCACCAACAACATGGAGGACTTCACCAGCTAGAAGAAGACATAAGAAACACTCACCAACAACATGAAGGTCTTCACCAGCTAGAAGAAGACACAAGAAACACTCACCAACAACATGAAGGACTTCACCAGCTAGAAGGAGACATAAGAAACACTCACCAACAACATGAAGGACTTCACCAGCTAGAAGAAGACACAAGAAACACTCACCAACAACATGAAGGACTTCACCAGCTAGAAGGAGACATAAACACTCACCAACAACATGGAGGACTTCACCAGCTAGAAGAAGACACAAGAAACACTCACCAACAACATGAAGGACTTCACCAGCTAGAAGGAGACATAAGAAACACTCACCAACAACATGAAGGACTTCACCAGCTAGAAGGAGACACAAGAAACACTCACCAACAACATGAAGGACTTCACCAGCTAGAAGGAGACATAAGAAACACTCACCAACAACATGAAGGACTTCACCAGCTAGAAGAAGACATAAGAAACACTCACCAACAACATGGAGGACTTCATCAGCTAGAAGAAGACATAAGAAACACTCACCAACAACATGAAGGACTTCACCAGCTAGAAGAAGACATAAGAAACACTCACCAACAACAGAAAGGACTTCACCAGCTAGAAGAAGACACAAGAAACACTCACCAACAACATGAAGGACTTCACCAGCTAGAAGAAGACACAAGAAACACTCACCAACAACATGAAGGACTTCACCAGCTAGAAGAAGACACAAGAAACACTCACCAACAACATGAAGGACTTCACCAGCTAGAAGAAGACACAAGAAACACTCACCAACAACATGAAGGACTTCACCAGCTAGAAGAAGACATAAGAAACACTCACCAACAACATGGAGGACTTCACCAGCTAGAAGAAGACATAAGAAACACTCACCAACAACATGGAGGACTTCACCAGCTAGAAGAAGACAAGAAACACTCACCAACAACATGAAGGACTTCACCAGCTAGAAGAAGACACAAGAAACACTCACCAACAACATGAAGGTAACCCATCTGCTTGCGTACTGGCTTTGTGTTGACCTGACACATGTAGATGCCCTGGTCCTTCTTGGTGAGGCTGGTGATGGTGAGGACCCACGCCTGAGCTTCCTGGGTGCTGGACACCCTCGGGTTTTTGGTGATCACCTGCGTTGCCACCGTCAGTACAGTCCTTCCACCCGTACCCTTGTAGATCCACGCTACCTGGAACATACCAACACACTTGTAGGACTCGGGAAATGGTAATAACATGATTACAAACGACGACTCGGGTGGAGTTAGAATCCGCTAACTCCGCGGATCACTCCAATGGATTTTCTGTTTACTCAAAACTGCTACACTTCACCCTATATGATATATAAATCAATTCATATTACTATTATAATAAAAAAGAAGCGCTAAACCACAAGGGCTATACAGCAATCAATAAATAAATAACCCGCAAATATGAGAGAGAAACTCATGGAGTTTCGGTCCGACTTAGTCCATTTACAAGTCACACTGTGACTTGTAAATCGTCCAAGTCGGACCGAAACGTTGTCGTAAGCTCCTGTCTCCTATGTGCGGGTTATCTGTGTATTGTTCCTTTTTGTTCATTTTTCTATATAAATCAAAGCAGTCTGGTAAGTTTTGTTACAGATCCGAGTCACTTCTCTCTTAATTTTGAAGATGTTCCTACCCTCGTATCCCGGCATAAGTCAGACTTTCTTACTGGTTACCTGTTCTATCAGGCTTTTGCTTTAAGCGGCCTGCTGGCCCACATGTCCACCACTGCGTGGTTGATCTGATTTAACTATCAATATCTTCTAACTAAACTTACAAGTTTGAAATCATATATATTTCGAACTACAAATATCTAATATAACTAACTCGTGAAAATGTCATAAACTCAAATCTTACCTTATTTACTCAAAAATATTAACAAATAGCAAAATAAGCTTTTTTAAATACGTGAAATTATTCAACAAAAGTGTATCAAGTTTATATATTCCGAGAGATATGTTATTTGCAGTGTATATACACAGAAAAAAATACCATACCACGGGCGGGATTTGAACCCGCGGTCAGAGAGTCTCAAAACTCTCAATCGTGTCATTGCGATTTCGTGAGTCAGTTATATACACAGAATTTAATTTAATCCCATTTAAAGAATTAGTGTATATCTACGTTAAGTATTTGAATAATCTTGACAGATGGTGCACAGGTGACATGGGAGCTGAACCTCGTGTGGTAGATAAACTTGGCCTAATAGATCAACCAACAACCAAAATGGAAAAATGTCTGATATAAATAACTTTCAAACTTTTATTTTCTAATCAGGAACCGGGTGGGGTTCGAATCCATGGTAAGTGAGGCCTGAAACTCAAAGGCCAGTGTGTTAACCACTGGGCCAGTTGGTTCTAATAAGACTCACTTAACTAAGGTGAGTTTTAAGACACACTCGCCATGGGTTCGATCCCCATCCGTTCCGTAATTTGTTTACAATCGTGTTAATACGAATTCTTGAGTTCCTATTTTCTCTTTTATAAGAATCATCAGATAAGTTTACATAAAGTTTTCGTCTCCCCTATCTTCACTATCTTCACTATCTTTATTATCTTCACTATCTTCACTATCTTTACTATCTTTACTATCTTCACTATCTTTACTATCTTCACTATCTTCACTATCTTCACTATCTTTACTATCTTTACTATCTTCACTATCTTCACTATCTTCACTATCTTTATTATCTTCACTATCTTTACTATCTTTACTATCTTCACTATCTTTACTATCTTCACTATCTTCACTATCTTTACTATCTTTACTATCTTCACTATCTTTACTATCTTCATTATCTTTACTATCTTCACTATCTTTACTATCTTCATTATCTTTAATCTTCACTATCTTCACTATCTTTACTATCTTCACTATCTTTATTATCTTCACTATCTTCACTATCTTTACTATCTTCACTATCTTCACTATCTCTATCTTCACTATCTTTACTATCTTCACTATCTTCACTATCTTCACTATCTTTACTATCTTCACTATTTTTACTATTTTTACTATCTTCACTATCTTTACTATCTTCACTATTTTTACTATTTTTACTATCTTCATTATCTTTACTATCTTCACTATCTGTACTATCTTCACTATCTTTACTATCTTCACTATCTTTACTATCTTCACTATCTTCACTATCTTTACTATCTTCACTATCTTTACTATCTTTACTATCTTCACTATCTTCACTATCTTTACTATCTTCATTATCTTTACTATCTCCACTATCTTTACTATCTTTACTATCTTCACTATCTTTACTATCTTCACTATCTTCACTATCTTTACTATCTTCACTATCTTCACTATCTTTACTATCTTCATTATCTTCACTATCTTCACTATCTTTACTATCTTCACTATCTTTACTATCTTCACTATCTTTACTATCTTCACTATCTTCACTATCTTTACTATCTTCATTATCTTTACTATCTTCACTGTCTTTACAAATTTTCACTATCTTCACTATCTTTACTATCTTCATTATCTTTACTATTTTCACTATCTTTACTATCTTCACTATCTTTACTATCTTCACTATCTTTATTATCTTTAATATTTCCTCCCCTTTCGCTCTCCTTTCCTCTCACTTTCCCCTTCCACCTTTCGCCTCTTCATTTCTCTCTATTCCTGCACTACTCTTACACTATCTCCCCATGCTATCCCTTTTTATTCCTTCTCTTCCCCTCTTCAGCCCTTCTACCATCCTCTTCTATTCTCCCATTTCCCTCTTTCTCATAAGCGAGAAACAGACCATAATAAGACATTAGTGTTGAGAAACTAATTAAATGTTCCGTCATAGGAAATCTCAAGCATTTCAAAACATTTTTATCCTGCGAGAGACTTTGTTTGGGTTACATAGACTGTGAAGTGTTATATACTTGACTAAGTCCCCGGAACTTGAGCTAACTAACAAACTCAGTAATATAACCCTTAGCACACATATCAGTAAGGTTTATTACATCTTTCCTCGCTACAAGGACTGTGATTATTGGAAAATTTGAATAGGTTCGTAATTCGTCACATCGATTAGATTCCAGTGATATATGTGTGTGTAATTATCCGGATGTGATTACCTGGTGAATTTGTCTGGCAAATCTCTAAGCGAAATTCGCAGTTTAACCTACACTTAGGAAAATAAGACGGCGATTCGGTCTGTTCTAAGTGTGGGTTATATGTGAATTGTTCCATTCTTAGAGGCCTGGTCATGGACCGGGCCGCGGGGGCGTTGACCCCCAGAACTCCCTCCAGGTATATTGCCCAGGTAGAATAACTGGGTAAACATGACTCATGAAATCGTAATGACACGATTGCAAACAAACTATACCAAGGGTGGGGTTAGAACCCTCGATCAGAGAGTCTCAAAACTCCAGACCGACGCGTTAGCCCCTGGGCCAGCTGGCCCCATTGGCTAACGCGTCGGTCTGGAGTTTTGAGACTGTCTGACCGCGGGTTCAAACCCCATCCGTGGTATGGTTTGACTGGGTAAAGCAATCTTTTACGTAAAGACTGTATTTCTCTCTTAACAGGAGCAACACGAAGTCAAAATACAGGTCTGATGTGAAAATAATCTTTCTAAAATAATTGTCGCCGTTCACACACTGAGGGGTCAGGAATAGATACCCGGCACGGGTGAAACGTTGGGCATCTACAGTCACTAGTATTAATGGTTCTTGGTCCCATGTGTTCTGTTTCCTATTTTTAAAACTGCGTGTGTGTGTGTGTGTGTGTGTGTGTGTGTGTGTGTGTGTGTGTGTGTGTGTGTGTGTGTGTGTGTTTCTAATCACCTAGTTGTGGTTGCAGGAGTCGATTCACAGCTCCTGGCCCCGCCTCTTCACTGGTAGCTACTGGGTCACTCTTCCTGCTCCATGAGCTTTATCATACCTCTTTTTAAAGCTATGTATGGATCCTGCCTCCACTACATCACTTCCCAAACTATTCCACTTCCTGACTACTTTGTGGCTGAAGAAATACTTCCTAACATCCCTGTGATTCATCTGTGTCTTCAACTTCCAACTGTGTCCCATCTCTGGAACATCCTGTCTCTGTCCACCTTGTCAATTCCTCTCAGTATTTTATATGTCGTTATCATGTCCCCCCTATCTCTCCTGTCCTCTACTGTACTCAGATTGATTTCCCTTAACCTTCCTCGAAGGACATGTCCTTTAGCTCGGGGACTAGTCTTGCTGCAAACCTTCGCACTTTCTCTAATTTCCTTACATGCTTGGCTAGGTGTCGGTTCCAAACTGGTGCTGCATACTCCAATATAGCCCTGACATACACGGTGTACAGGGTCCTGAGCGATTTCTTATTAAAAATGTCGAAATGCTGTTCTTAGGGTTTCTAGGCGCCCATATGATGCAGCAGTTACTTGGTTGATGTGCGACTCAGATCTTTTTCTTTGAACGAGGTTGTTTGAAGTCTCTGGTCCCTCTAGACCGTACTCCGTCTGCGGTCTACTTTGCCCTTCCCCAATCTTCATGACTTTGCACTTGGTGGGGTTGAATTCCAGAAGCCAACTTCTGGACAAGGCCTGCAGCCTGTCTAGATCCCTTTGTTGTTTCGCCTGGTGCTCGTCCGACTGAATTCTTCTCATCAACTTCACATCATATGCAAACAAGGACACGTCTGAGTCTACTTCTGTCGTGTCATTCACATAAACCAGAAACAGCACCAGTCACTGGACTGACCCCTGAGGAACCCCGCTCGTCACAGGTGCCCACTCTGATGTCTCGCCACGTACCATGAGTCGCTGATGTCTTCCCGACAGGTATTCCCTGATCCATTGCAGTGCCTTCCCTTTTATACCTGCCTGGTATTCCAACTTATGCACTAACCTCTTGCGTGGAACTGTGTCGAAAACCTCCTTACAGACCCAAAAAACGTAATCTACTCACCCATCTCTCTCTTGTTTTACTGCTGTCACCCTGTCATAGAACTCCAGTAGGTTTGTGACACAGGATTTCCCGTCCCTGAAATCGTGATGGCTGTCTTTAAGCTCATTCCTTGCAAGGTGCTCCACCACTCTTCTCTTGATAATCTTCTCCATGACTTTGCATACTGTACATGTCAGTGACACTGGTCTGTAGTTTAATGCTTCGAGTCCGTCTCCTTTTTTAAACATTGGGACTATATTTGCTGTCTTCCATACCTCAGGTAGTCGCCCTGTTTCGATAGATGTGTAGAAGATT